CAAACATATTCTTAAAATTGCATAACAAAATAAAGGGGCAAATTCGTCAAAATTTGGCCTACAGACTAAGGGATAAAGTAAGATGACATTATGACTTTATATTCAGCAGAATGCTCGAAAATGTAATGTTGCTGGTATTAGTATTATAATATAGAGCATTACCTCATCCGTGAAAACATGCAGAGCTTGAGTAATAGTGGGCATGTATGTAAAACGCTCAAATCACGACGGGCCGATAAAATCTGTCAGTAACACGAGACGCTTCTAGTTACTAATTCATAAGTATTCAAATAGTCCACCCCAGGCAAAGATAACTAATAGGAGACGCGCACAAATTTATTTCGGTATTTTTTAAACTCAGCCCCAACATATTTAATTTACTTAAACGGAAGAGGAGTAAAACTTCAAATTATATGTTTATTCAAAGGATGTTTGGGTCACTAAAACTAATATTATAGATTGACTTTAACGAACAAAACTAATTTTCTGTCTTTGTAATCCGAACTACACATCTCTTACTCCTCGCCAATATCCGACAAGCTTAGATCTGATAAATTGTTTTTACAATAATTTTAATACTCTTCATATTGAATTATGACTGTTGACATGTTATTTAATTAATTAGTGTTATTTTAAAACATAAAAAAGTCAGAAAACCGGAAATTTTATACCAATGCAAATAAGTTATTGAATATGTTTGATTTTATAGTTACAATTATTAAATAAAATAAGACATTCTATTGAGTAAAATTCATTATAGTTTTAAATTTAACTTTTACAATTAGTACTCAAGTGTAGTATCATTACATTCACATCTTGCAATTCAAATGAGATGAGATAATAATATTCCCACAATCTTTTAGCTCAAGCTCAACAACGAACGACAAAAGATTAAAAGTTTGTCAATTAAAACGACAAAAAATAGCGCTAATAAACATTTAAAAATGGCAGCACGTTAACAGTAACTATCTCGAATTTTTGTTTACTGCATCTTACTATTGTAAAATATTTTGCCGTTTTTAGGGACATGACTGAAATCCCAAGGCAATGCTTAGGCAAAGTAGATTTATCAAACTTTGTGATTAACTTGTAATTTATGCTCATAGCTATTGACATTATTTTTAATCGTTACAGATATCGCTGATCTCGATGCGATGTTGAATGCTTCATTGGTGGCGTAAAAGACCAGCTCGAATAACAAGGAAGGAGTTAATGAGGAAAAGTTGAAAAACACTATAGAAATAAAGAAAAAATGTCACAAACGTTATTTTTGTAAAAGTAAAGGAGAATTAGAAGAAAAGACGTTTGATATAAGAAAGTGGAACGTGCTCCATTCAGAGAAAACAGATATTGTGTTGGTATGCAATACATGGTTGGTTTTTGAAAATTATGCAAAGATTTCTAAACACCAAACACATTGTATCAACATGTTTGTATAGTTTTTGAAGAAGAGCTTTGTCGTATGCAAGGAAAAGTAATTTCAAGAGGCAGCACAACGTAATTTATTAAACAGCTTATAGATAAGCACGGCAATAATTACAAAGGGTTATTAAACCAATCGGCCTGTTTCAATTCTGTTCCGTTCCAATTTGTACCGATTCCTGATTGGCGGATTAAAAATCACATGCTGGGAACAACATCACACACACACGTTTTATTAATAAGCGTAAAAAAATAAAATGTTGTGTTGCGCAAAGAGTTCTAATGGCTTTTAGAAATATATATTTTTCTGTAAAAAATAACCACTTGAAATCTTGGAGTGAAAAAAAAAAAAAAACAACGGAACGAGAAACGCGAAATTCTTATTGGTTAATACAATTTTCCGTCGAACAAGCCTAATATATATCAGCATACCAAGGCAAGGCTTAGCTTAAGAAAATATTGCGTAAAATTGCCAACATTTTCTTGATAACCCCATGATAATTTAATGTATCATATAATTGGTAAATTTGACATATCAACATAACGAGTCGCAAATCATGGGAGAAGATCTAACGTTAGAAAATTACAGGACAAAAGTATTGGTAAAGACCGTAGACTCGTATCAGTAGGTATCATGTACACGACAACGAACTTTGTGAAGCAATAAATTCTTTGAATTAATCGATTTTTGTTTTTTTCTCCAATAGCGTTCGAATACTTGTAACAGGTCATTGCGCCGTTTATGATTGTTTTTGTCTGCAAGATATTATTGCTTTATCATCTAGCACATGTAACAGAGACTTTCCTGCACCCTTCTTAGTCTTAGTAAGTAAGATAAGATATTATTGCTTTTTACATTAAGCAAAATGCTTGAAAATGTGTTAAGCTTAGTAATATGATTAGTATTAGTATTAATATTATAATAGTTTCTCATACGCCTTGTACACTGCCCCCTATTACTATCAAAAGTCACGGACCACCCCGTCGATCAATTAGTAAAACATATGAAAAATCCAATTTTTCAAAAATCTGTATTGGCATTATTTACTAAACAAACAACAAAAAATTTTATATTAATATAAAGCTAATTGACCGCAGTTTTTGAATAAAATAGTGATAAATTTACACAGCTTATCATACCGGAGCTGTACTTATTTGTTTTAATATGTCACAATAATAGTTCAACAAATAAGACTTCGTTTATTATAGTAAAATACTCGACAGCGTAACTTTATCTGTAGACATTTTTTTGACACTTTTACAAGGTGCACAGCATACTACTATCTTCAAAGAAAAGGTTTCTTTTCGTAGAAAAATTTTAAGGAGTAAGTACCAATAATAACAATTACTGCAGGTGGCGTGCATGCGATCATGTGAAATCAAGGGGAGTAAGATTGGTGATCTTTTATCACAGAGATTTTTGATCATCTGATTGTCAAATCAATGTAGTCCAGTATTCATAGAAGCTCAATTAAAAGACTACTTGGTATTGCTGGTATTATTATTACGGTAACAATGTATCTTGGTGGGAAAATATTATTTTTAAATTTGTTTGCTGTAGTCAATACAATAACATGTTGCAAAAACCAGCGACGACAAGTAGTGACGTCATTATGGAGCTTATTGAGCTTTATGAGCCATAAGTTTATTCATCGTTAAAAATTTTCACAAATGCATCAAATCGTTAGTTGATACAGAATAAACTTTTGTTGTTACTAAATTTTAATATTTTCCGGTTCGTGAGAAAAAATTTAAAATTAAACGTTGCTTGTAATAACGTTAATTGTTATATCATAAGTTTGACCTGTTGAATAACCGAGTAATTTTCTTCACACAATAAATGTTTACAGTATATTGTCATTGACATAGGTATTACCATCGACATACCTTTTGCTCACTGTCAAGAATAAATCATCAACGTAAACTCTCAGATTACTGTCTCCATGTTTCAAATTAGAAATTAATGTGTAGCATTGTCAATGAAAAGTGGGCTACATTTAAATGTTGCGAAGGAAATTACGTATGCCAACTCGTACAAAAAAAAGTCATACAACACAAATATTTTGCGTTTATCGGGTTAAGTTATTTAAAAAATAGTACAATCGATAATATAATTTGTTGTTACGTATCAATTGTCCATATTCAGAGGGATTATGGAAACGTCTCCAGTCAACGTGTTGAACATTAAATATATAATACATCAATTGCCGCTTTGAAAATAGGCTTTGGGTGTTCTTGATTATAGACTGTTAACTGCAAAAATTATGGTTAAAATATGACAGAGAAAATTAGGTTATTACAGATTAAACAGCTCTGATTTCGTGGTCCTTTATTGACACAGCTACGGTGGACCGCTAGAGCTGTTTAGATTAAACAGCTCTGAGAGACTTTAATAAAATAGTATTTAAACGATAAAACATTTATTTATCTTATATCTACTGCTTAAGAATAGCTTAGCTATCAAGACAGTTTACACAAGTACAACAATCTAGTCAGTGTAGGACGTTTTAGACGCACATAACAACAGTAATTATGACAAAGGACTACAAGGTTGCACGAGTTGATTCTCTTGCATAGCATTAAACTTACTTCACAACAAATAATGAATTAATATAAACCGTGCAATTTATTACCAAAAATAGAATGACAGAGAACAATAATACAACAGAGCGTTGTAGATATGCCCATCTACGATAATTCTATGTATATTATAGAAATAGGGTTAGTTGCATTTATGTAAACGCTACACGTTTCTCGAAATCTCTTCTATAAAACGAAAAAAACAAATAAATCTACAAGTAATTCTCGATATAAAAAAGTTTTCAGGGCCCAACAAATTTCTTTCTTATATAATCTCTTATAACGAGAGCTATTTGTTATAAGATTTTAATCGGGTCCAGCAAAAATACTTTTTTGTATCAAAACTTTCTTATATCGAAGGGTTCTTATATTTAGCTACTTGTATTCCGTAAAAATGTTTCCACCTACTTTTATAAACCCTTGATCGATACAGAAGAAAACACATTAGGTCGGATAAAAACGGGATTGAGTGACGATTTGGAACAAAGATAGTTTTTTAACCGAGAAATTTTAATAGAAGGATTTATAAACTCAATCGAAATGTAAAAATTTTACTATGAGATCTATTATGATCTGCCAGGGAAAGGCTTACCATTCTCCGTAACGTTTTCTGATGTCACTCATATCAGATCATCCTCCAATACCACCTCTTTCTGATGCCATTCTCTGTCCACCATTCTCCAGTATCGTTCTCCGTTACACCCATCATTCTCCGTCCCTTGCCTCATTTTCTGCACCTTGTTCTTCCTTACATTTTGCACCACCGCCATTTTCTGTCACCTCCATCCACGTTGCACACCATTTTCTGTACCACCTTTGTTCCACCCCCATCCACGTTGCACACTATTTTCTGTACCACTTTTGTTCCGCGTTGCACACCACCCCCATCCGCGTTGCACACCATTTTCTGTACCACCTTTGTTCCATTTTCTGTACCGTCTTTGCTCCCCCTTTTCCGGCTTCTATACCATTTTCTGTACCTCAGTTACTTAATATAGGACGCAATAAATTTATATTTCAAACGAAATCAGATGGATCAGCCGTAGTTTTTGTTTTTCAAATATATAAACGTTCAGTCCAGTCCCTTACACTGATTATTGAAGCATAACGGGATTTCATTCACCTACTTATCCCTTTGATCAATTATTCTGAAGTCATTATGAAGGCATACATTATTGTCGGTCTTTGCATCATTATTGGAAGCTATGCTGTTGCTGTAAATAATTCTGGGACGTCTCATCGTTCTTGTACTTGCTGGTAAGCGTCTGACATGTAGCAAAAATATTAGCGTATGCGTTATTTACATACAAGTTGTTCATGTTTTAGTCATACTTTTTATGATTGATCGATATATACAAGTACAAGTTCTCTGTCACCAGTAACTCAAAGGTATTGAACAGTGATGAGGCTTATTGTAATATGCATGCTGTAAAATTAATTCTCAGTTATTTACGAACCAGTGCAATCAGTTCCTCAACAATGACACCGATCGCAACAACTCTACCGTCTCTTCCGCCGGTTAATAATATTACTGAAGTATACGGCTTGATATACAAAATATTGCTCGGCATTGCTGGTGTAATTATTACGGTAACAATGTATCTTGGTGGGGGAAAAAATAACATTTTTAAATTTGTTTGCTGTGGTCAATATAATGACATCGTGCAAAAACCAGCAGCTACAAGCACTGACAGTAATATGGATATTATTGAACTTTATGAGCAGTAATTTATTCTCTGTCGAAAAATTCATTAGTTTGCCGATCTGAGTTACCATATTTAATTTAAGAGTGTTGTTTCTATTTACAAAGTTTAAGATATACATTACACATAATAAGAACATTAAAACCCAGGGTATTTTCTACTTGGCAAGGCACTATAATGATTGGTCACAGACGTTTAACAATAAAGTTTTTTTTTGTATATCGAAGCTTGCTCTTTCTCCTCCTAATCCATCTTTTCCAAATGTTGGATCTTCTTTCTTCAAACGTTTATTTCTAATATGTAGTATACATGTAGTACAAATTTGATTCTAATATTATTAGTCGGAATCTATATTATGTTACTATTGTTTAATCTTATCCTGTGGGTTTATCACCACCAATTAAAAAATTTATAATTACGTTGTCGATAAGATAGTTTATATGTAGCAAAATACTTTATGGAACAACATAACGAATTATGTCTTACTTGAATTTAAGAAATAGACTTAGAGTGAATTCAAAAGTGTTTTTGTTTTTTTTTTTTTTTAAAAAAATTTTTACACTGGTTTTGAGCACAATATTGACGCTTGTATCAATTTAGTCCCTTAAAAACTTGCATTTTGAACTTTGAACAAATTTCCTCTTTTGAAGTTATTTTTTCCGGTGGGGAAAAGTTTATCTGACATGCTGATTTTTACTAGGTATTCTCTCAACTAACGCCGGCAAGGACGTGTTGTTGTCTACTAACACCTCAAAGGTGTTTATTTTTCTATAGATCGTAAAATAAGCAAGCAGCGCTTAGGAATTGCAAAAAGTGTTCAAAGTTTTGTTTAATACCAATTTTTTTACTACTTTTAAATACAGCACACTGTTTATTCTATTACCACGTTTACAACGGCCTACGAGAGTAAAGCTAAACATCGAAAGGCAGTAGTCTGGATATAACACAGCTAACAGACATCTCAACCCTAATTAGATCGGTAGTTAGTATTGTCGCTCTTATCGCTCTTAATATGTTTGTTTATTTTGTTCGATTAATACATTATTTTTTGACCGAACAGAGAAAGTTAGAAATAAAATTGAGTCTAAGTCTTGTTGCAATTAAACAAATGGCATTGTTAACCAAATCCAATAAAATTGGTCGCCAATAGTTGTAGAAACCTTTTTCCATGAAATAAATTATTGTTATTTTCCAGTTGTGGGCTAAATCAAGTGTTGCTCGCAATTACGTCATTGTTATACCTGCTTACATTACTAGTGAGTAATTGCGTAATGTTTTTTCAACAGCAATAAATGGTTTACGGTATGATTTGTCATTGAAATACTTTATATATAGTGTAACTACTGAACATGGTTAGAGAAATAATCACCAATGTTACTGCATAAACTCTCGGACTTACTATAAAAAATGTCCCAGTGCGTCCTCCGTCTCCAAAAGAGAAAATAAAGTCTAGCGTTGTCGATGAAAATGTAAATGTTGCAAGAAATTGTGGCTAGATTTCGTATGCTGATCCGTGCAAAGAAGCTGATGCAACACGAATATCCTGCATTTATCGTTAAATAATTTAAATAATAGTACATTTGACAAGATAATTTATTCAAAAAAGTGACGGAGAAATATGAACAAATCAATGGGTATATCATATTACTATTATTCTGGAATAGGCTTGCTCTTGATTTATAAACTGTTAGTAGCAGAACTATTATAGAAAGAAGAAAAAAATTTAGATTAAATTGGGGCGTTACGGGTTAAATAACTTGAGAGAGTAAGTGAAATAGCTATCGGTTAGCAACCAAGACAGTTTCACGCGGAATAGACTTCTTATTTCTGTATAGTTTTGTGTTGGGTGATGCTAATCGTATGTGCCATGAGTATGTTTACCTGGTAATTCCCCAAACACAACAGGGTGTGAGTAAAATGCTCATCATGATAATTCTATAGAATTAGGGTTAGGTTGCATTTATATAAACGCTACACATTTCTCGAAAACAACGGCGTGATGCAAATTAGCAACGACAAGCGGTGACAGTAATAATAACATTATAAGTATTAGGCTTTGATAATTCTAAATGTTGTGCGTTTCCATGTTCTGTAATGACTCGCATTATTATAAACGCATGCGCTGTATCGTTTAAGTGTTTTCTCCTCTTACGATTGATTTGATCAACCAAATTCCAATGCTAGCTACATAATACTGACGCTTTCTACCCGCAACATTTTTCTTCTACTTTATCGGACCTGACAACACTACGTATAACACCGCTTTTTTCTTTGCAAGTGTTGGTTATTCCGGCTAGAAGAGTCCACTAGATATCATAATTAACAAATAAAGTCAAACGTTAATAATCAAATTGACTTTTTACACTTCGTAACACAGATTTCAACCATTAGTGCTAAAGTTTTGTTTGCTAAAAACCAACCTTCTATATATTGCCGTTAGCTCATCAAACAAAAGCGGTGCACGATTATGGCTCGTTCGGATAACATACTCGATAAACGAATATGTATATACTGTTGAAAATGCCGAAAATCATTCGCGAGGGTGAAGCGGTAGTTCCACGATTGTGCCAAATACAAATTATATAAGGCGTCGTCATATGCCTCACAAGCGTATTACTAAATTTTGAGTGGAATATCTGTGTTACCACATATTTATAGCATACACTACTCGGACAAAAGTCTTGCACATTAAAAAATTTTAATTACGCAAAATTACACATAATAATTACATCTCAAATTTCAATATAACTTTGTTTTGGTTTTGAACAAACGCGTATACAATGTTCGTGTTGTTTGTAAACCTACATCAGAATATATAAATAAATCCGTAAGCACTTCTAATCTTCATTGATGTTAAAATGTATCCTTTAACTGAAAGTCAACGCGTTGAAATTATTGGCCTTTACAAAAATAAGCAATCAGTACCAAAAAATTAATAGAATGCTCAAAGTTCATAAAACAACTGTCACTCGTACTATTGATAAGTACCTAACAGAGTTGATCTTGCGACTCGTCCCCGATTTGGCCGTCCGAAATTATTGACTAACAGAAGTCAAAAAAATTCTAAAGACTGTTGTTAAAAATAATAATAATAAATCAGCTGAAAAAATTCAAATTTTTTTTTTTGTTGAAAAAACTAATTGTGAAGTTTTCACAAAAACTATTACGAGAAATTTGCACAAAATGCAAAATTTTTTTTCGTATACCAGCTCGCAAACCTCTCCTAAATAATCGGCAAAGAGAACAACGCCCGAAATGGTGTACTGAAAGGCGAGATTGGACTGTTCGAAATGGCGATCTGTCATATGGAGTGATGAAAGCAGGATTCACAATATTTAGAATGATGGCCCAAGTCGTGGTTGGAGAACTCCTGATACCAAATTTAATATTGAAAATTTGGTCCAACAGCAAAATTTGGAGGTGGAGAATAAATGATGTGGGCGGTAAAGGATTGTGTAAAAGTAGATGGTAAAATGAATAGGTTTAACAACATACAAATACTTGAAAAGCATTTATTACCTGTGATAAAGAAAGAATTTAATTGCAGAGGCTATTAGTTTCAAGATGATAATGCTCCGGTCTATACTGCTAAAGATGTTAAGAAATGGATTTTAATGATCAAAATCAAAATCTTGCCAGATTGGCCAAGCCAGTCTCCTGACTTGAATCCTATTGAGTATTTATGATCGGAGCTGGAAAGAAGAATAAGAAGCAAATTACAGGTAATAACAAATGTTACAGAATTAGAGACAGCATTACAAAAAATAGGGCAAGATTTCACAACGTCAAGTAATGGCTTTGATAGAAAGTATGCCACGGAGAATAGAAGCTGTTGTTGCAAGCAAGGGGTGGCCAACAAAATACCAAGTTACTTTATTGGTTAAAGTATTATTTGTTAAAATTTGAGATGTAGTAATTTTGCGTAATTAAAATTTTTTGATGTGCAAGACTTTTGTCCGGGTAGTGTATGTTTCTTCCTTTTTTCTTGTTACATATGTTTATTTGTCATGAGAATAGCAAATCCCATGCAAGATGTGAAAATTGCAGTCGCTTCTTATAAACAAACTGTCATTTATATGTTTCCTGGGAAGGTATAAGGAAAGCCAATATATTGTTGCAACGGTAACGAAAAGATAACTTTGTACCACCGGAAACACGTTTGCTCAGATCAAATAAGTATATATAAAGATTGCAAAGCTCTGACGACTAACGGTTATACTTTATCCCCATTCTATTCTAGAGTCATGACAAGATTGTATCTGTTTCCAAAATTATTGAAAGCTACTCTATTACAATATTAACAATTTCGAGGAGGCATACTATTCTTGCACTTACTGGTAAGTGTTTGATTTGTAACAAAATATTAACAAATTAGTACATGTCATTTACGTACAAACCATTCGTTTTTTAGTTGTACTTTTAATGGCCGATAGAGTACGAATTCTATATCAACAGCAGCCCAAAGGTATTCAATGTTGCTTGAATGTGAAGAGGCTTTATTGTAACATAAAATAATTGTAACCCAATAACAGCAGTTTTTCGACAACGACGCCAATTGCAACAATTCTATCGTCCCTCCCGTCCGTTAACGCTGTACCTAAAGACGACGGTTTAATATACAAGATACTACTCGGCATTGCTGGTATTACTATTACAGTAACAATGTATCTTGGTGGAAAATATTATTTTAAGTTTGTTTGTTGTAATCAATACAACAGCAAGATACCAGCAACTACAAGCAGTGATAGTAATATTATGAAGCTGATTGAGCTTTATGAACCGTAGTTTGTTTTTCGTCAAAAAATTATTCACAAATCCATTAGTTTGTCAATCCGAGTTACCTATTCTAATGTAAAAAAGTGTTTTTTTTATTCGGAATTGTCCAAACTACACACACCACGTATAAGCATAATTAAATTGGCTTGTTTATAATTATCACATCATAACAGAATTAAAACCTGGAATATTTTTCCCAGAGTACTCGTGTATCGTATTGTAGTAACAACACATTCCATGACTAAGTTGCGCGCTTTGTTACCTAATATATACTACCTTGTGCTGTTGGAATATTTGTATTATGAAGGCAGAACTTCATGTTGGAATATTGCGTCAACATTATTCAACGCAAACGAGTCGTATTGCTAAAACGAGACATTTCCCCGACTTAACGAGCATGTTCAACAATACCAAGACAGGGTAACTGAACTACCTTTGTCTGCGAACGAAAGTGAAGCTAACAATCGGGATATAGTACAGCTAACAAAAGTTTTAACATTTAATAGGTCTATCAATATTGCCTCTCTCATTGCTCTTAATGTGTTGATTATTTTGTTTGCCCGTATACCACTTTTGATCGAACAAATAAGATTGGAAAACATATTTTGCGTTTACTTTTTCGTAACCAAACCAATAAAATTAGTTAGTTAATACAGAATGAACTTTTCTTGTTTTACATGTAGAATAAATTTTATAATAAATTTTATTATTTTCCTGCTTGTGAGTAAAAGATTAAAATTTTTATTATATCTTCTTACAATATATGTTTAAACCGTTGAATGGCCGAGTAATATTCTTCAGCGAAATAAATGTTTACAATATAAAGTGTTATTGACATAGTAGATATTACCGTCGACACAGCCTTTCGCTCACCATTAAGAAATCAATCACCAATGAGTTGCATAAACTCTCAGGCTTACTGTCTCTCCATTTTGCAAATAAAAGATTTAAAGTGTAGCATTTCTGACTCGTGCAAAAAAAGTTAAACAACGCAAATTTTGTTAAAATTGTTCAAATAAACAAGACAATTGATAATATAATTTATAACTTATCAATTGTACATATTTATTCGAAGAAATGGCAGCGACATTATGGAACGTTCTAGTTAACGTATTGAACATTAATTATACTGACACTCCGAAAGAAGCTTTTGTTCGCGATTTATAAATGATGAAAAAAGTTTAGACCGTATTACAGATTAAATGGCTTTGAGAGAATTTAATAAAAACAATGTTTAAACAATAAACATTTATTTGTCTTGTATCTACTTAAGAATAGGTTAGCAACCAATACAGTTTACGCAAGTACAAATATATTATTATAACAATCTAGTCAGTGTAGGACGTAAAAATTAATAATGTTTGCTTTCTTTTTCAGACGCACACGACTTGACAGTTTATTTGGTTACTCTCGATATGGTTTTGTAGACATCTCGGTGACGCAATCGTACAAAAGTATACGTCTCACTGCGGAGTAATCATAACAAAGAACATAACAAGGTCGCACGAGTTGATTTTCTTGCAATAACCTCGTGATTTACCTCACAACAAATAACGCATTATTATAAACCATGAGATCTATTACCAAAAATAGAATGACAATCGTGTGTGAGAGAACAGTAACACTGCAGAGCGTGAGTAAAGATGCCCCATCCACGATAGTCCTATATACTATAGAAATAGGGTAGGTTGCATTTATATAAACGCTACACTTTCCTGAAATCTCTTTTTATAAAAACAGAGAGAAAGAAACCAAAAGAAAAAAAAGTATCCAAATTTATCTCAAACAAACGATTCTATTCATAATAACAATGACAAACAAATGCTTTATGGTTATTATTATTATCCTCTGTATTGTTATTGAAGCTTATGCTATTCCGGCAGCAAAAGATCAAATTCGGAATTATTCTTCTTGCATTTCCCTGTAAGTAATAACAAACAAGCTAATAAAAACGAATAATATAGCAGAATTTCACTTACGGTATGTTGATTATATATAGGTATACTTCTCAACCAACGTATAAAACAGTAAGCTCTTTGTCGACAATAACTCAGAGGTATTCGTTCGTACACACTTTGTAAAGTAAATTGGACTGGTCGACTAATTTAAAGAGTACTGACTTATTTGTCTATATAATGCCTACATACAGCACGCTTTCACCATCACCAGCTTCATTGTCCTCGTCTGCTAACGAGACTAATGCCAAGCACTTTAATGACAACAACCCGGATATAGTGCAATTAACGAACAGTTTTGGTACTCTGGTCAAAGTGGTAATTGGTATTGTCGGTCTTGTTGGGTTTATTATGTCTATTTATTTTGTTCGCTCGGTATATAATCAGTCTGGAGGGGCTGATGTTGAAATCAATTTTTCTATGCTCTTTTGTAATCAGATAAACTGATACTAGTAACGTAACGCTGTTTTCTAAGTTTAATACCGACAACTTTTTATGGAATATTGACTCGGAAAATAAAAATTTTCTTGCTTTCAGCTGTCACATGTGCTCCAACATGTTAAGTATCATTTTTGATAGATCAGCACGTTTCTAGCATATATCAGATATTATTTGTACTAACCGTTCTAAGAAATATAGTTTTGCCTTAATCTAAGTATGGTAATTTCCATGTGTATTGAGAGTTGAACAAAATCATAAAATCAATATACACTGAGTCAAGAAAATATTTCATTTTGCTGAAGTCAATGCCCCTCGCTAAAAAGTATTTATTTCTAGCTTCTAAAACTAATACTTAATACATTTTGATAATTCTAAGAACAATATAATTATCTCTCACTATCCGCGCTAATCTGCAAATATGCTCAACTGCAAAATTTAAATTAAAACAATATGCCTGAATCTCGACTGAGTCGTATTTCTAATATCGGAGACAATTACTGCGGAAGTGTTATTTGTCGATCTATCACAGATCCTTGCGCCTCACGTGCTTGTGGTATATAATTGCATTTTGTGTGCATCATTACCAGATGTAACTCGACTTTGAGATTTGGTTGTTTTACAAAAGAGCAAAGATTAAGTTATCATAGGTCTATATCTGAAGCTTCTTACATACACAGTAAACCTGGATATAACGAAACCCACATTCTATTCCATTCACACATTGGAAGTTAACATGATAAGATAGTAAATGAAATCAATAAACGATCGTGCATAAGATAATTCCAACCATTCCATTGATACATTCAATAACTTAATATACTACTGTTAACATCCAACAAGCTTTAGATACATAACTAACCCGTTACACGAAAAATTGCCGTTACCCTTATACAACCGCACACCGATCTATACTACCTCCAACATTCCAGACAATGGGATACCCAACTCACACAAATCACAGCGAAGCGTATCTCAAAGCACCAACCAATGCTAGTTAATCAATAAACCTGGAGAAATTACCAATTTTCTGTTGCTTTCCGGTCACCTCGACTGCATAGTGAGTGTACCCACATACATGCATGATGTTTGTAACACAAATGACGGCCGAATGCAGTAAATAAAATTGACCTGCACCTCCGCCACAGCGCCCGCAACAGGCAAACCAATGTGGCGACCGACAACAACTTTTTGCTAATTGATGAATCAGAAGTTTTTCTTCATCCTTCTTCCTTACCTTATAAATGATCGTTTGCGAACAAACAGACGTTTTATTCAAAGTCGCTCATCTAGAAAGAAACCACAATCCAAAAACTACGCTGCGCTGCATGCACCGCTATACGGTTGCTATTTGCTATCATTAACGAAAAGAAAGAGTAACCTCTAACTCGCACGTTGTGCGAACAACAATTTTTACAAAGCAAGAAAACATACAATTTTATTCGCCATGACAAGTATAAACAACTTTCTTGTCGTCGTTAGTTTCGGTCTCTGTATCGTTGCTGTAACGTATTGTATACCAGTGGATCATTATAACGGCAATAATCCTTCCTGTTCTTCCTGGTAAGCAAACGGGACAAACGATAGAGAGATAATGTATGCTTTGTTTATGCGCAATATGTTTACCACCCTCCAAAGATTAAAAATCACATGACTTGTTGGAATGTGACTTCTATGTTGATTGGCTGCTACAAAGTTGCGGACTAAAGTCTACGTAATAAACAACGTTGAAACTGCTTACATACGACTCTTTATTACTATATGTCTACATGCAGCATGCTTTCTTCTACCTCACTATCATGCGCAACGTTATCGGGACAAACACCTTCGTCTACCAACGAACACTCTAGCGACAACACCTTGGATATGGAGCGGTTAACAAATAATCTTAACACTTTAACTAAAGCGGCAGTTAGTATTGCCACTCTTATTGCTTTAAATATGTTTATTTATTTTGTTCATTCAATACGTAATTTTTATAATCGAACAGAAGAAGTTGGAAATACAATTTTTGAATTTATTTTGCCTATGTTTTGTTGCAACCAAACGAATGGCATTGTTAACCAGACCAACGAAGTTGGTCGTCGTGAATTAGTAAAGGTTTGGATAGATAGGTACTGAATACGTAGCCTTTTCTTGTATTATTTACAATAAACTATTCAGTGAGACAATTTGGTTTAAACGCACAGTAGTCCATACGCAGTGGCTGTTATTTTTATAACTTGAGAATAGGAAAACACTTGCGGAGGAAAATGATCGAACAAAAGAGGTATTTGAACATCGTCGTATCATTGGCTAGCGGATAAAAGTATAATCTATAATCGAGTGTAACAAGATTATTACATAGCATCTAAAATTCGATTTGACAACATGGTGTAGTGCACGTAATCAGACGGCGCATTATTCATACAATAAACATGTTTTACCGATTAATTGGAACAACTGGGAGGAAACAAAGCCCAGAAGCATTTTCTTAAAAGATATGTAATATTTTGCAATACATGTAAAAACTTCATTTTGCAATGACTGTTATAGCTAGAATACTGTATTATATTAGACACGATACACTTTGTTTTAGAATAGTCTTTGACCGGAAAGTTGTAACATTACCCGGATGAAACTTGACATGTCATATGTTATATACACATATTTAGAATAAGTACGACTGATATCAATAGTACGCAAGTACGAAACTACAATAACCGACAAATTTGCCAATCTTGATTAATTTACAAATTAATCTTGTGATTTAATATGTGCAAGATTAACGTGTTATTAACTGTTGCTTATTCAAAAATTTGCAAGACAACGTAACTTTCCTGACAACACGGTAAATTGTCAGCTTTACATGGTTTATAATATGCAATTGCCGTAAAAGACAGATAGTGTAAACTTTGCCGAAAAAAAAGAAAGCCCTATCTGCAGATTAATTTCATCTCGTGTAAAAAAACTCTTTTGCAAAGTCTACGATTTAGTCTATGATTATCAAAATTATATTGCCTCGCAATTTTTGTTGTAAAATAGGTGTTTAGAAAACAAATTAATATTCACTGACTGGCGGTATACCACGTAATATAAGAGATAGAGAAAGCGGAGAATAAATAGGTGTGGTTATCGAATAAGAATTAGGGTAGTATACTGGGAGACAACAGCAAGCCCACAGTGAAGCTATTGTCAAGAGAATGTTATTTCGCCGACAATTATTTTACCGATAAACTTTCCCAAAACTATTTCGAACATTAAGAACCATTAAAGATCTATTTTTGCATCATACATGTACGTATGGATAATAACCTACTGTTATTGATTACTGTAATAAACTTCTACAAACTTCCGGCACCCGTGGTGTATCAGTTACAATTATATATGTAATATAAACTGAAAGCAGTATTTTGTTCAGATTAGTTTAATGAATAATCTGTAAAGCTAAACAAATGTGAATACATAGTTGGTGTCACTGCAAAAATAATAATACTGTCGAACACTTTTTATTAACGTAAAACAATATCAATTCTATTACCACACAAGTAACCAATTTTTTATTAGTATTGCATACATACACATAGAAACTCGTCTTTATTTACTAGTAAAGTTTCTGTTTTAATTTATCGTGATTAACTAAAGTTACTATTAGTATTGATTTTTACAACGTTTTTGCGTAAATAAATGAATAACGCCTTGTGACGTCTTAACGTTAATACTAGTTAATACAACGCTTAAATTGTAACATGCAAACATCTTTTATCGAAACAATTAAAGCATTATTCATATGCACAAAAAGGTCGTTGTAGTAACCAGCTAAAAAATTATGTCGCATAACAGATAAACAGATCAGCGTCTACAGAATTAGCCAAGGATACACAACAGCCAGTTGTTAGTCTTGTCTTTGTCTCGACTCGCACCAACCTCACTAATTGCACAATAAAAAAATAATATTAAAGTTTGATTCGGGTTTTTTGTCGTAACACATATTGACAAATACATATTAATATGTCTGGTAATCAACTTGGCTACCTGTAATATGAACGCCAGTGAAGTACAATAAAAAACTCTTAAAAAGAAATATCCATTATAAGTACGTAAAAGTCTAAACTGTTGGTAATTTCTTTATTATTATAGAAATGTCAAAGAAGAGAACGAAAACGTTGTAATGACAAGGAAATGCAGACTGATTGCACAACGTGATGCACGATTTAACCAATCAAAATGTACATGAAAAGTAAATTGCATGCATGACATGCATATCAGTTCCACATCACATAGCGATCGAATGATCTTCAGAGAAAATTAAAAATTGAGCTACGTTCGAATGTTTGTTAACAGTTTTCGAGAAATAAACTTGGCGAAAAGAATAACGCCGTTGTTACATAACGTTAAAATCTACAGAACAAATCGATGCAGTGTACTACCATGTATATCATTTAACTCAAAGAAATCGTTCTTTACGCTTTGTTTGACTCTCGAAATCAGAAACATTGACGTTACTTGTTTAAATGCAAAATTTGGATATTTTATAACGACTACAAAGGCCTTCGACGATAGCCAGTAACTTACAATTTCAATAAATGACTTGCATAAAAACGCAGCTAGCGAAAAATTTATTTAAACGGCATCCAAGTTCGCCCTTCTTGATTTCTTCGTGATCAAATCCTTTACATACAAACTATACAACAGTTTTTACTCATCAAGTTTCCACTTACACTCTTTAACAATCATTACAAATGGCTTCTGCAAACAGAACCTTGACACTCTTTGCCGTACTCATTGCCTTGCTTGTAACCTTGGCAGTGTCCAAACCAATTCCGGAACTTGATGAAAGAACCCCCCCTGTCCTAACCCTTTTGCCACAGCCTAGTACTTGGGATCTCCAAACCACGCAAACTACTGCTTGGTCGTGTCCTCAATGTTCGACTTCAGGTATGAAAGCATTATTTATTGATTTCTATTTGAACATAATTGTTAACAAAATATTTACATTTACTTGTATAATAGAGTTGGTAAAGCTTGTCGTCATCTGCAATAAGAATTCGGTATATACCACAACTGTAAGTATAAATATAATCTTATTAATTATTTTTGACGTATTAGTTGTATTAATAAACTAATGTATTTAACTTGGGTTTAGGCTACCAATGCTTTCAGCGGTCAAGCAAACATTCAAGTCGATCCAAGTTGGGCTGTTAAAGGCTACACCTGTTTCATTCAAATATCGCTAGTAAATGCCCCTAGCATTTCTGCAACAAGTAGTTCAGCAATTACTATTAATTAGAGATTAGAGATTATTGATATTATTAGATTAATTACTTGATATTTCGATAGTTGTAATTGTTCCAATAATTACATGTTAACTCTTATAGACGCCAAGTCTTATGTGACGGGCAATAAACGGACGTATATACTTAACAAACGCTTATGTATGCCAACTTGTCATATAAGTTATAAGACATGTGTTTGACTTTGAGATCTGTCTCGGTTCTAAACCCTCAGCTGAGGTACGACACACACAAATTCAACGAATCGACATTGTTTAATCACGTAATTTGAAGTTTACGTCATGTAAAAAAAATTTTACGCAAGGTTTTAATGCATCGTTACTAGTTTTGTGGACAGCAATTCTGTCTTAGTCGTATGTGCAAGTTATAGATCGATAATGAAACGTGTTTCTAGACTGGTTCTGTGTTTATAATTGAAAAACTTGAATGCCAGCCAATCAATTACATCAGTCGATTATATCTTTCATGAGCTACATCTATGTATGCATGTTATTATATAGGACACATTGGCTCTTGTTATGAAAAACAAAATAACTATTAGTTTGTACAATCATCGATTGATTGTTAACATCAACTCCATTGTACAAATTGTACTGTTCAAAAAGTAGTACCGTATACTTCCGAAAATAAGCACCCCTTTTAACAATAGGGGGTGCTTATTTTCGGAGGTTAGACTTTTGTGTAACAAAATTGAGGTAATCACATGCAAATAGAAACGTTTAGAACAATTAGTGTTAATTAATACTATATTTGAGGGGGGGTGCTTATTTTCGGGGGGTGCTTATTTTCGGAAGTATACGGTAATTAGAAATTACGTCTCATGACACGGACAATGTTTTATTAGACGCTGCTGCTTCATGTGAAATCACATGTTTTATAATATATGCATCAGACAATCCGATACTTAGATGCACATATAAAACTTAGTTAACGCAAGAACGCGTTGAATATTTTGACTGTACAATTAAATTAGTGTCTATTATAAGTGTAGTGACTTGACGACAAGTATCACAAATGTCGTAGGTAATGAGTTAACAATATTAAGGTAAAAAGTAAAGTCTAATACATCTGTACAAAAATTTCGAAAGATTCTATGTTTTGTCTATGATTAAAATTAGAACAATGTAGAATTTTAAAAAAGATTGTAAGAAAGACTAGAATCTTTCAATGAGTACGCCATCTGCTAGTAGTTGTGTTTCAACGTTTGCCAGTGCACAACCATGTACGAACTTTGTCCGCACATTGACTATTGTAACAAACAGTTGAAAAGAGGGGGGCAATGTTTGCGGAGTCGGGACTGACAACCCTGTTCGGCTGTAAGAGGTACCAGCCTTAAGTGGACAAGCTATATTTCCATCTACATTACAAAAAGCGGTAGTAAAAGGTGTGGTTAACGGACGTGCTTTGGGGTCCGTACCGAAAAGAACGCCAATTTGCACGTCGTCGGATGCATCAATATCGGCTACCGTGGTCCCGTTAACAGCAAAGTAAAACGGTCGACCTGGCGCAATAGGATCGGGTGTTATTGCGACTTCGAGTACTGGCGGAGGATTTTCGTAAGGACATTGAGTAAAGACTGTAGTTCCTCTGCGAAGTCGGTGGGGAACTGCATCGATCACTGAGATTGTGGCGGTTAACAAAAAGAATAGGAAGAGAAAAGATTGATGCATGCTTTTTGTGGGTATTAGGTGAGTAGATGGCAGCTTGTGGGTAGGTGGGGTGGCAGGTTGTCAGTAGATGGCGACTTGTGACAGATGTTAAGGGAGTGGATTGCAAGTTGAAGGCAAGCAAATTGCTACCGTATTTATAGAAAAAACGGTCTTGTCCATCAATCTATCGAATGTGTGGTTTTATTCAATTTAATTAGATTGCATTTGAATGAAGATGTGGAGAGTAAATTAAATGTTTTACTTAAACGGCAACATTGGAAATTTCGGTTTTCCACTGCGGCTCTAACCACGTGCTGTTCCTTGCTTGAAGCTAACATGGGGTGATATTTTTCCGGAACCCTTAAATAATATCGTGTACTTATCTGGGAATGAGATGAGTTGTATTTCAAAAAAAAGAAGAAGAGAAATAAACTTTGCGAAAGAAAGGGGTTTTTTTGTCACATAACAAGAAAGATTATTTGCTAAACGAAATTGTTTTGCATGTAATCGTGCACGTCCCTAAGCTTTATTGTTCGAACGTATTGTGTATTATATGTAGGACAACATTGATCGTTCGAATTTGACATAAATAGCTGTCATATTACAGCTTCATGTGATGAACGATGATTATTTTTAGCATTCGTACGGAGCGATCTACAGACATAGCTAACACAAATATTTATTAGTGACTGTTGTTTGTTTATAACTTTATCTAATCTGACAGCAGGCAGTTATCGTTAAGCTTTACACAATAAACCATATATACAGCTCGTTAGTACTTTGTATATCGTTTACTGACTGTCAAGATGAAAACTGTAATCATACAATGGTTTGGTTGTGAATATTGTTGTTGCAAATTGCCAACATCTTATCTGTGATGTAATAACAAATACAAAATAGTAAACACCGGATTTGCCAACCAAATAATAAGACGTTCCGCACGCTGTATCGTTTAAACTTAATTTAGATATGTCAACAACGTTAGAGAGGGTATGTGTACGACAAGAATTAGTGCAAGCATTGGTGTACGAATTATAATGTACGAATTACGAGATACATATATGGAAAGTTTTGTACGACAAGCACTGATGTATACACATATACTTTTCCAAATCGAGTAGGGTACTAATTTACGCCGTTTTATAACAATGCAAACGTTTCAATGTTGATAAAATCTCATAAATGTATCTGCTTCTTTTTATCTGACATACTATTAAAAGCATTTCCATTTGGGCCATACATTTTGATAATTGTTTATTAGAGCTAATGCAGAGTATCGACAATTTAATATAGTTATTTAAAGTCTAATGTTGGCGACCACTGGTCTGAAGAATTTATCGTTGCACACACTAAATGATTTGCTGAAATTATTTAATATCATGTTAACGTACACCTTTACTCGGAATAATTATTCTACTTGAAAGCACAAGCTACTGTCTTTCTCATTATAGCATAGATGAGTTGCGCCATCAAAATGCCCGTGTAGACTGATTCAGTCCTATAGACAAGCAAAGGTTTACGATTTAGTTCTAACAAAGCAATTAACATCTCGCTATAGAAACTAACTGTCTCATATCCTTTAATTGTACATTTAAAACAGACAAACTTACCGCTTAAATATTGTAAATTTCAGAAATTATACTTTTACATAACGTGAATAGTTAAGTTTAAAGTAACATTAGGGTATACGTTGTGTGTGACTCAGCAAACGAGTTACGTACACTTCAGCCGCATGGTAGCTTGAATGACCATTATTCAAGTACTCTATTTTTAACTATTGCAATTTAAATAAATAAAGTTAGTACGTAATAATTGGAAACTGATACATGGTAAAATTTATACTGTGTATATAGTATTTTCTTTCATACTTGTCTACACTATTAATAAATTGGTGTAATTATTTTACCCCAAATTACATTTCGTTGTCGACAGTGTATTTAAAACTTTAACGCTGCTAAGACTGATTAACATTATAATAGCAACCTTAAATAATGTAAAATTTACGAAATTTGTGTTATGCATGGCCAATATTATATCGTTCATTGTAATAACAATAAACAAACACAGTTGGTTTTTTTATTGGTAATACGAATAGACTTTTTATCTTTAAATTGCACTAAATAACAACATTTACTATTTCAGAAACAACACTAGAAAAGTTTTATGCACAACACTTACGGGGGTTGTGAGAGTGTGTGATAAAGCATTGTATCACTAGAACAAGGGTTTCGAGATCAGCAAAGGTCGTCTGTATCAAGATTTTGCATGTACCCAGATCTACGTATGTAATTTGTGATACTCAAATTACATTGTGCTGAAATTGCTGTACGTACAACAAACGTTTATTTTAAAATACAGAATTGTAATGTAGGTTCCAAAAATTTGGTATTAGTTGATACTGTTGTATGTTCCGATCGGACTTATTATTATGTCAGATCAAAACTATAATATGGTGTATAAATATAGCAATCTCTTGCAGCGATCGATCGTAACTCTTGGATTTAATTATATTTCAGGCAGTAAAGTTCTCCTGTTTCAGTCAAGTATAGCAACAGTTAATGATCCCTTAACTACTCACGACCCTAACATTTAGACTGTAGACACTAATCCTGGACTTTGAGTGCGCCATTATGTGATGAAATTAAATTGGTAATCTGTATTCATAACGTCACGAGAATAGCCACGGGGATGAATAATGTACCGTGAACTCTCGGGAGAAGAAGGGCCCTAAGCGTGAATAAGGGACTATCGTAAATGAGGGCCGTAATGATGTGAAATAAATAAGATCACCGCTTGTTGAGTAAATCATATAATATACTGTATTAGTATGCGATTTCTTATAGAATGAGTTTACGGTATCTGAGAGTATAACAACTACTCTTATCAGAAACGTTATAATAATAGAACACACGGTTGATTCTAACATGATACTATTATTAGCGACGTATGCATCCACGACATGATCAAGAGATCATTGTAGTACAGGCATCCATGTTGTGGTACAGCGATCTAACGTCACAATTATTTATTACTCTCCTCATTATGTCAAGTTCTATGGACACGATGTTCACCTAACTGTACAAAAGACACATCCCACGTACGAAACAGATTACTTGAATATCTCACTTACTAACCCCTGACAAACCAGGTATTAATATTAACCATTAGCCGTTATGTGTGAACGACATTAGCCATTCATGATTATATTATAATCATAATAGAATCAACAATTTTTATTGGATATTCGATGTGGAATACATAAAAATTCATAATTATCTTATATTCACATTATAATCGGATATAACCTATATCGATGTTTGCTTTCCCACGGGGCTGTGTGTATGTAATGTTAATCAATTTACTTATTGCGGCAGGGCTAATATCAATATGTTATATTATTGTTACAGATTTTATTCGGACAGAAATAACATGTTAATGTCATAAAGCAAAAGTTTGTGATTTGACCAGGTAAGTAATTGATATACTTATTTATATCACCACTAAATATTACGTTTCCCTAAATGCGCAAGATTATTTCCGAGGAGAATTTCCATATCGATATAAAAATAAAAAAGTGGGTAGGTAACGCGTATGCTTATATACAAACAATTGCCTTATTTCTCTCCCTCCGAATGACACTGTTTTTAGATTTTGGGACAAGCATAATATGTTGCTCAAGTGTCTCAAAATGTTAGGAATCTGAAACCATTGTTTTCATTAAAACGTAATCCGTTCCGTATACCATATAAAATCAATTAAGACCATGTTGTGTTGATTTTTCTTATAAAAACGGTAACAATTTGACTCACTTTTAATCACAACCTATTTACATAATATTACAAAAGCATGAACCGAAAACTTCTCTTCATAGTCTTTCTGCTAACTGCAATCTCAGTGATCGATACCGCCCCGCACCACCGGCTCAACAAGGGAACTACCGCCTTTAATCAAAAACTTCTTTTCTTGCTTTTTTTGTTGACTGCAATTTCAGTAATCGATGCTTTTCCGTGCCGGCTCGACAAAATAACTACTGGATCTGGTCAATGTTCCTACCAAATTCCTCCATCAACAATTGGAAAGGGGACCCGAAAAACTTCCGTTAATTAATCTTTGCTTTATGCTATCGACTTTATAATGCTACTGTATTGGGGATACTAATACTGGTTGTCCACCAAAGAACAACGGCCTGCTGTCACCAAACGTTATCATAGGGCTCCAACACCGCAAGCGTTGCGTTGCCCTCACCTCAGTTATCAAGAGTTTGCTGTAATTGTCAACTTAATACACAATTCATACGCCAGTAACTGTTGGAACATTGCGCCTGATTAAGAATACTGGTCTTTTTTGCTTATATAGAGAAGATAATAATAATAAATACTAGTTTAATTGAAGAACACAAAATGTAATAAACCCATTCAAACATGCATGCTAATTTAATATTGTATGTCAGATTAGAATCATAAAGACAATCAGGTAACAACATTATAAAAGTATTTTATTAACATTACGATATTAGCTTTACCGCATATAAACAAATCATGATACACAGAACGATGTATCTAATTAACATTACATTAACGATTATGAGTGTGGTAGTTTAAATCACAAATGACAGCAGCTTTGCGACAAGCACATCGAGCCGTTGAACAACTAGTCCTACAATTACATCTAATCTTGGTTAAATTGACCGAGCTTTGAGCCGAAGCGGCTTTATATGTTAAGTACATTGAAGAGCACTCTAACTGGCATAATCCATTTTCATGTACTTTAACAAGCCAGTTAGGGTATTAGGAATATGAAGAAAACCAAGTCATCTTTCTTATAATACTGTTTAAGCTTTCTGAGACTTTTGCATGGTAACTTTCATTTGTTCTGCGTAAGTCGTGGTGTGCTCTTGAGCAATATTCCGATATTTCTGATGAGCCGTTGGAAAATTAAAAATCGGCCTAGCGCTTGACATCCGTGATATATTGGTGAAAAGAACGCCGACCACTGAGAACTCGCCATGTCATCTTCACTGC